TTCAGCACGCGGCAGGTTGATGGATTGCCCTGTAATCATGCGTTTTGTCACAGGAGGAAAAAAAGACTCAAAGAGGAGTCAGGATGTTTGAAATGAGGCCTCAATATGAGGAGTGAATCAGTGGATACATTATGATATGAAAACTGCTTTTTCCTGCTGTTCTGTTCTGTTTTTTTTTTTTTAAATACAGAGAATTTTTGATACAGAGAATACAGAGACTACAGAGTACAGAGAGATGTAAAATACTGAAATAACAAATGGACATATTTAACATGACAGCCTGAAGCCTTATCCAGAGGCTGCTGGAGAAGAAAATGTTCACATTAATGTAGGATGGTTTATCTTGTGGCACTTTAGGACAAAAGCAGAGAGCCTTGTGTTGTAAAGAAGCTCTGACTGGCATGTTAATGTGTAAATGGTAAATGGACTTGAGCTTGTATAGCTTTTCTGACCACTTCAAGCGTTTTTACACCGCAGGTCACACCTACACATTCACACCCTGATGGTAGAGACTGCTATTAGAGTGACAATCAGTATTAGCTAATCCCATTCATACGCCGCAGGAGCAATTTGGGGTTAAGTTTCTTGCCAGAATCATCGGACATGTAGCTGCAGGAGCTGGGGATCAAACCTTCGACCTTCTGGTTGAGAGAAGGCCGACTCCACCACTGAGCCACAGCTGACCCTGATTGTGAGCGACAAGCTCATATTTCATTCCCAACCAACTCGTGTTTCATTACATAATAGCCACTGACTTAATATTATTAGTCGTGTTTGTTGGTGTTCATTTTTTTGGGTAGCAAGTGAAAGAAAAAACGTGTTCTTTTAAAAAAACACTTGAGATTTTTTAAAGACATATTTGTTTGCAGGATGCATTGCAATGAAGGACTGTATCTATTTGTGGCTATGACCGATTAATTACTGTGAAGTAATTAGAGTAGAGCTGCAATGATTTATAGATTATTGTTTAAAACAAAGTCAGTGACCAGCTAGTTTGAGAGAAGATAATTATCATATTAGTCATTTATTAAAGTATAAATGTCAGAACTGGATGGTTGCAGCCTCTCACATGTGACTATTTTACTGCTTCTCTTTGACATTTATAATTGTAAATGTTTTTTTTTTTTTTTTTTTTTAACTGTTACTGAAACAAAGAGAGCAAAATGCAGCTGTGACTGCAGCCTCTTAAAAGTTCTGATGAGATTTTTTCATCAATATACATAGAGATTAATCTGTTGATCAAAAAATGTAGTTGGCACACAATTTAATATTGGAAATGATCTAAGTAGCAGCCAATGCAAAACGGCCACATTTTTCTTCTTGCAAGGCCCCTAGTTAAATATTCCATGTAAAGTCGGGCTGAGCTGATCTGTAAACTCAACAGGAAACATTCAGAAAATTCATCATGAGCGAACAGGCGGGAGAGATGACGTATAAATCACATAATCAAGCTGCTTCACATTTGTTTGTGCTAGCCAGTATGCTCTTTTCCACTTGTTTGTTGTTACTGTGAAAATGTCCAGTTTACACGTAGCACTGAGATAAAAAAAATTGGTCATCTAAATGTTGAACTCTGTCCACAGGAAGTGCCATCTTGGATTTCTGCAACAACGTCCGTCTGTGAACCCCCCCACAATTCCTAAAGTCGGACAGGGGACATGTGTGAATAAGCAATCCAGGAAGATTTCAGGGGTAGGGCAGTGTGTGTGTGTGTGTGCGTGCGTGTGCGTGTGCGTGAGTGTGTTTAAAAACTGCTTTAGATTAAGACCGTTTGCTAAACTCCTCACGGAAGGTTTTACCTACAAGCCAAAGAGCTGTATCTCAAGGCTTCAGGGAACGGTTTATGTTCACATAAGTAATAGAAGTGCAGCACTTTTCTTCATATGCAAGCTACATTTATCGAAAATGAAATTTGAAAAAAAAAAAAAAAAAAAGCTGCACCTGGTGGTTGGTCAGCCCCTCCGGCATGGGGCTCAGCTGTGGGGGCGGATGCTTCTCTTCTGACACAGCCACATCCAGGTACCCGGCATCGTCCTCCTCTTCTGCGCTCGTTCAGAAGCGAAGGAGAGAAGAAAAAAAAAAAGATGCAGAGAGGTTGAAAAAGAGAGAAAGTGTACGTGTTAGACAGAATGAGACAAAGAGGGAACAACAGAGAGGCGGCCTTCAGATCTCACTGCAGCAGGAGACACACTGCGACACGCTAAGCATATTACCTCTTAAAATATAAAGAGTTTCTATACTGTTCGGAAAAAAAGAGACAAGAAGAGAGAGAGAGAGAGAGAGAGAAGCAGAGGCCTTCAGAAAGACAAACTTTCGAAACAACACTGTATCTCTGTAGGAGTAGAGGAGGCGCATAGACGTGTGTCTGCCAAAACTCGATTCTAACACGTCCTCATCTCTGCACTGGCACAAAGATATTTAACAGTCCCTAAACACACACACACACACACACACACACACACACACACACACACACAAAAAAAAACATCCCTACTTCATCTGTTACCATAATGATACTAGAGGCTTCCATCATTCCAATTAAAGACGTTGGAATGATAACAGAGGATTGGTGGAAAGGAAATACAATGGCATGAAGATTTCACTCGATCAACACCTAAAAATAGCAGCACTGGCCTCTTTACCTCTTTGTGATGGCTCGGAGATTTGTCGGAGGCATTGGTTTGGTATCTATGGTTTACAGAGCGGCCGTATTCTCCATTAATGGATGCTAATCTCGCTCTATTGTCGGGCATGTCTTTCTATAACATAACCTACATCACACACACAGCATGAGACGTTTGATCCTTCCTCTTTCTCACACATCCACAAAACGAACCGAGCCGAGAGAGACTTTCTGTTTTATTCATAGTGAAATCAGTGAGATCTTTCTTTTGCACCGTGCCTTCATTTCCCCCCCCCGAAGGGACTTTGTTTAAAGAGAAGTCAGACTTTCTTACAGTTCCGTCTTCAACACATGTCTGTGGCTTGGCTAGCTTGAGTCAGAAGAAAGCTGCCTTTAGCTCAAGGACTCAACTGTAAGGAGTTTCACAAGCCAGACTTCACAGTAAATCATCAGGACTAAAAATAGAAAGACTTTTATCCATGGGAGGACAAAAAAAAAAAAAAAAAAAAAAGAGCCAGCTGACCAACAATTTCGTCAAGTTTTCAGACTACCCTGCATTACCCGGTTGGTCTTTTTTCTGCAGGAAGTTAACTTTCCGCATGACGGCTATTTTGGTCTTCTCGAGCCCACCCTTCGTCCCGCTTCTCGCCGCCTTCATGAGCTGCTGGACCTGGTTGGAAGGAGCACACAAAACAACGAGGGAGTGTTAGAGCACGAGGAAGTGTCTGATAACCTAACGCGGCTCCTCCAGAGAGAGAGAGAGAGAGAGAGAGAGAGAGAGAGAGAGAGGAGAGAGAGAGAGAGAGAGAGAGAGAGAGAGAGAGAGAGAGAGAGAGAGAGAGAGAGAGATGATGAGTTGGGAGTGACGCTCGGTGGGCTCATCATGAATCTCACCATCTGCGACTCCCTGCGGGTCCCTGTACAGCCTCTAATCAGAGTCTGTGAGCACATCATGAGGAGATTACGGTGATGGCTTGAGCTCCACATCTGAGTAACAGAGCTCAGTGCGGGAGAATTCAGTTGACCACAAACTCCACCCTGAGCATCACAGAGACCCTGCAACCAGACTCCACGGGGCCCAGGATACACCCAGGGTGGCAGTATTTTTAAATGATGCTACTTCAGGAAAGTAGGTCATTAAGTGGGGGCAGGCTGTGCTGGTGTTTATGGAAGTAAATATGCAGAATATTACTTAATAATTCATGTGTCCCATGAATGCGTCATGATATTAAACCAAGCAGGAGAGAGAGAGAGAGCGCGAGAGAGACTGACAGAGCGTCTCAAAGCAAAGTCACAGTCCAAAGGAAAGCCGGGGGAAGGATGGTGCAAGGGAGTCGGTGAAGGCTTTGAGTCAGCTGAGGATGTAACACAGCTTATCCCTGTCATGGTTTGAGCTACGTTCATGATTTCTTCATTCATGTATTCAGTTTTTAGGGTTAATATGGTGATCTAACTCGTCTGTCATTTCAGACTCAGCCACTCCCATCTGTCTGTCTGTCTGTCCGTCTGTCTCTCTGCCAGTAGAGGGTCCTCATCTCCTCACCGATTCCCTTCACACACCTGGTCCACATTGCCTCTACCAACCCCCCTTCCAGATTGTCTTTGTGCGTAGCTTTAGCTTTCTAGTGTTTCATAGTCTGTTTCTCCATGTAGTATTTGGCCTAGGCTGTACTCTGGACCTGCCGAGGCCTCACTCCTTTAACTCCGTTTGCCCGTCTGGTCTTGTATCCTTGAATCTATTTTTGTGAGTAAATACTTTGTTGATCATGCGCTTGGGTTTATTTTACCATTGAACTGTGACATACAGTACAGCTTCTGGTGATCATCAATCCTATATTGCAGGGTGGTTTTTAGCTCTGTGAAGAAATACTCTTCTATGAAGGCCAATTGTTGCATGTTAAAAACAAAAACGTCTTTTCTTTGACATTTTAATGCTTTGCACAGCATCTAAATCAAACTGAAGGAGGAGGGGGGAAATGTTGCTGCTATGTGTTTGTGTTATTTATGGGAACGCTGCTCATGTGTCTGAGTGCCACTGAAGATGAGACAGCTTGACATTTTTTTCAGACTCAGTATAAACTTTTGCATCATGCAGAAGTTGACCTCAAACCAGCTTCATTATTTCACAATGATCTGATTTTTAAACGTAAAGCCCGTCACCTCTTTCAACAGCCAACCAGCTTGTATCATTACTAGTCGTACAAATATTGCGGAGTGGCTCTGTATGAATCCCAATTGTTAAGAATTTAAACAGAAAAGTGATGCATATTTCTAGAAACAGCTTTTCTTTGACATTTTAATGCACCTAAACCAAACTGAAGGTGGGGGGTATGTTTGCTACTACAGTATGTGTTTGTGTTATTTATGGTAACCCTGCTAATGTGTCTCAGTGCCTGGAGTTGAGACAGCTTAAGCCTTTTTCAGACCCAGGTTGCATCAATATAGACTCTTTGAAACTGTTGACCTCAAATCACAAGCATCTGATTTTTAAATGTGAAGCCCGTCACCTGTTTCAACAGCCAATCAGCTTGTATTAAAGTCAGCCCAGCCCCCTTTTATTACCGTTTTCATTAATGAGAGCTGCCGTACGTCACCACCTCCACCTCACAACAACCACACCTCCATTATAGGGTGAAAACGAGCACTTTAAAAGAACTGAAGGGATCATGGAAAACATCAGGAGCAGCACAACCAAAGGCTGCTGCAAGGCATTTTGAATTTCCAACTATGAAGTATTTAATGTGAAACTTGAAGTTTTATAACCTTTTTCTAGATGTTACAATGGCGATCAGATGATCGAAATCTTTACCTGCATGAGCATTGGATTTGGCCTCAGACAGAAGATGGTATGGTTGTTTTTCCATTTACTGGGGGTGGAAATGTTTGTGAAGGGCAAAAAAACAAGATGGGTTGCTTTCATGCACAGGAGTTATTGTTTAAAACAAGATGGGATGTTTTGTTTTCTTGCTATTTTAAATTATTTTGAATATTGTCTTCTGAAATTGTATTCATCCACGACATAATTAGACAGTTTCTGACAGAAGTGTGCTTCAATAACATACCAAATATTGATCAAAAACACTCAAATTTGGAAAGATTTGAACTGAATCTGAATAAAATTGTTGGGTGATATCAAAGAGAACCTCCATATTGCGATGTTCACTTGCTGCTCGGGGGTATACCTTGACGTCATAGTTGTGCTTGCCAGACAGCCTCTGGGCCAGATCACGTTTTGTCTTGGCACACCGATCCCTCAGACGACGCACTTCAGGGGAGAGCTACAGGTGTCGGACGGGGACAGGCGAGGCACAGGGGGGTGGGGCAGGTCACATTTAGCCACAAAAAGAGCAGAGGGAGGAGATAAAAAGAAGGGAAGAGGAAATAAGAGGGGGAAAAAAAGGGAAAAACGGCGAAACAAGCCAAGCAACATTGGGAATTAATCACAAGCAAAGAGAGAGAGGGTTTGCGGTGTTTCTGTATGAGACTAATAGACACTGATTTATGGAGGGATGGGAGGACGGGTGCAGCCGGTTTAGGGCAGATATTAAAGAAGTAAACTCTGCTGCAGCTCTCCCAGGCTGCTCGAATTAAGTAGAGAAGTGAACAAGAGGAGACTTCAGGTACACTTGGTGGAAAGTTAATCGGGTGAGACTAATTAAAAACAATGTGTTTTTGATGAGGGCTGTGCTAAAAGTGTTGCCGGGCCCTAATAGCCAAGGTCTCTTCATTAATTGTCCGACCCGTGCAGCAGCCGAAGCCCTCCTCCTCCTGCTTAGCGTTCTGGGACAAGCGTGCCGAGAGAACTTTGGGGGATTTCTTTCTTCCACAGAACAATTCAGATAATTACCTGAGCAACTCATTTTGAGTCATAATAAAACCAACACCTTACTCCCTTTGGTTTCTGCCTTTACTTAAAGCTTTGAGTTAACTCTGTATTTTTCTGGGATTACAATTGATAAAATCCTAATAAAAACATCTTTAGAATGTAAAAAGAATATATATATATATATATACATTAATAATGATACAACTCTGCAAAACACTCCTCCATTAGTGTGACTCAAAAGTTTCCCAATATGCTTGCTCTGGTGCATGCACATTAAAGTCCGGCGGAGCATAAAGGGAATGCAGCCCGGTGTGAATGTGCACACAGTGCCATCATGTGGAGGGAAGACACCGTGTAACAGTGCTGCATAAAACTGATGAGCAGCATCCTTGGCAGAGAGGAGGCAAAGGAGATCTGAGGCTTTTCAAAACAGAAATGCCTCTTGTTTATTTTCCTCCCACAATCAAAGCAAAAAGTCTAGACAGGCTGTTATACAGTTTTCATGTTCTTTATAGTTTCCTTCCACTTGTAGACATAAATAAAGACCACTATGCTTGAAGTGCAGGGAATTAAATATTCCACTTAATTGTTTTTTAAGTGCTGGAAAGATGAGAGCATGTGGCCAGTCATTCCAAATATATCATAGAGTCTGCTTTTGAACACGACGCATGCATCGACTACAAACCGCAGCACTATACCTTGCTCCGTGTTGGTTGTTTGGCCTCGTTATCAGACTGCTCGTCATAGCTCTCGAACTCGCTGGAGCTCCACCCGTTGTCTGCACCCGCAGGGCGGCTCTCTCTCTGGACGTCCTCATAGATCAAATCTGCTCCAAACATGTAAAAAGATATTACACATCAGAAGCTCCACATCATGTTTTTTTTTTTTTTTTTTTGTGAGTTAGTTCACATCCATAACTCACCGTCGTCGGGAGAGAGGGGGTCCTCACTCGGAACGTCATCATAGATCACCTCTGAAGCCTCCGGCGTCTGTGGCTCGGCTTCAGCTGGCAAACAAAAGGAGCGGGCGACAGGGTAAACAAACTCTGTTTTCAAGTGGAATCAGAGTGGCTCCTGTCTTCTATCTCCCCGTTTTCTTTTTGATAGCTGCACCACCTGCTGATAAATCATCCTTTTGCATTTCTCCAACAAAGAAAAAAAAAACCCAAGCACAAACAGAAAGCTGAACACACACACATACACCTTCAAACTACATCGCCTGAATCCTTTTGGCAACACAAAGATAAAAAGATAAAACGCTGGGTCTTCTCGCCTTCTGGAATTTACACAGCCCTCTGAATATTTACGCACTTATCCTATCATTTGCATCTAAAGGTCTTCTTCCCCGAGGGAGGGGGGGTCTGACATATGGTTTTGTTTCTGTAATGGGCTTGGACCATGTGACGCATCATGATTGTATCCAGCTTGTTTGAGCTGTTGACCCGTTCAGTCTCCACACTCGACGGGATTTGTCATTAAGTGCTTTCAAAGTGTTTCAGCCTAATTTAGCTCGGTGAGCCTTATTGATTCGGTTTTAAACTGTGATTTGTCTGCTACATGAACAGCATGCAATCGCTGTTTTCAATTAATCTGACTGGAGACGTGTAATCTGTCATGGATTATTTCAGTAGTCAAAAAAAAAAAAAACTGAAATAACCTTGAACACAATCCAGGAGATGAACAAAGAGCAACTCGTTTTTCCACCCAAAGAGGATTAGTAAACACAAACGTTCTTTCTGTCGTGCTCACTTTCCTGCGCTTGTGCATTCAGAGAGGATTCAGAACAGAGAAGAAAACGACTGGATTTTGGGATATCAGCCCGACTATCGGCATATCTGCAAAGTGGCAGGGCCTCGGGGGAACACGGCTTGTTATTTCAAACGTAGTAAGCCAGAAGTTTCCTGCTGTGTTTCTCACTTTTAATGGAACTTTTTCTTTGGAGCAACACAATGATATTCAAGAAAAGCAAACATCCATAGGACACACTGACACTGCTGTCAATCAAAAACAACACTGACATTTGATTGTGGGTACTTAAAAGTGTTTTTAAAGAAGAAGAAATAAACATCCCAGTGTATAGTGAACACAATTGAGGAAGTGATGTGATTACTTTGACTAACAGGAAACACTTATTTATTGATAATAATCGTATAAAGTAACACTGGTGAGACTAAACGCTGCAGTGAATCCTCAAACTACAGCTCCTTTGATCACTGGTGAAAAATGAAGTGACATTTTTCACACATACTCTTGTTTACGCTCAACATACCCTCATCATAGGTTAGTATATCACCGCACACACAAGGTATCTTTTAACGTCAGCTTTTTTTTTTTTTTTTTTACCCTTAACTATCTGGTTCCAAAGCCATGAGGTGGCTGTTTGAAATGACTCTCTCTTTTGATTAATGGTACACTTTAGCCTTGTCTTTACCATTCAGTGTCCGATTTAAGTTATCCTTTAATAGATGTGTCAGGATACCTTTTAGACTCTGTACCATAGACTGTAAATATGAATGTTTGAAGCCTGAATGACGTCACCCATCTGTTCCTGCAGGGAGCTCTGGAGGCTCATCAGCAGCAGCCACCATGTTGGAAATCCTGTCTCAGCCTAACTTTCAGTCAAACTAACGACAGGCTGAGAGCTGGAGCTGAGTCGGGCTTTAAGCCTCCTGACAAACAGCTACACGGCACCTGTCTGCCAACCAGGTCAGCTGCGCGCTAATCAGACAAATATAATTTTTGTACCAGGCTGTAAGCATGTTTATTTCTGCTGTAAAAAACTGCTTTTTTGACTGTAGTGTGTGTGTGTTTGTGACTTCCGGGGCTCTTGGAGCAGACCCTCAACAAATTTCAAGGATTTTGCACTTCCAGATCGGCTTCATTTTTGAATACCGGAAGTTTTCCGCTTGTTCTGTACCAAGGTGCCCCTTAGTTTGTATTTAAAGCTAACATGTAGCCTTAGAATCAAGGTAGCATTAAGTCTCTGTTCCAAAGTGTACTTTAGCAGCTGTTTAAAAGTACACTCAAGTGTCTTTTTTAGCCTCTGTTTCAGGGTAACGTCTCTCAAAGTATTCCTTTGCATCTGCTTGAAACTACACTCCAGCCTCAGGCGTATGTTACCCTTAAGCGTCTGTTTCAGGGTACCCTAAGCGCCACTTTGTGCCTCAGGTGAACGCTAAAACAACTACAAAGTTTAAAAAACAAACATGTTTTTACCTTTTCTTTCACATGTGATCAAACCCGCTGACCCCCCCCCCCCCCCCCGAGCTGCCACCCAAAGCAGACTTCATCTTACTAGGTCATCATTTTATACCTGCTGGATGGCACGTGCTCCACCAGTGGATGGGCTCCCATTGGTTTTTTGTTTTTTTTAAATAAAGGTGTCTTTGTGCTTCTGTATGGGAAGCCAAGATGTGAAGGGAAAGGGGTTATACAGGATTAATAGTGCATAACTTTTCAGTTGTTTCAGTACAAACACAAAGACCTACAAAGTAAGTAGCCTAATTTGTCCCCACACAGAGGGTAGATGCAGATATAAGACACCTGCAGGCGTCAGGTTGGAAACTTAAAAGTGAAATTGTGAAACGACAAAAGGATCATTGTAATAGATTTCTGCTTAAGATCAATAAACAGGTAGTATTCATGAATCTTGCTTTAAGTCTGCTTCCATTATCCACTTCCTTTTATGACAAGGTACAACATCCATGAAGGAGGTCTAATATCATTTTTATTCCTTAATCAGTTTTATAAAAAATATTATACACATTCAAATTAATGGCAGAGTACTGTGTGGAAATACATCAAAAGACTGGGACATAAAAAAAGAAGAAGAAGCCGTGCAGCAGTGCAGGGCTCCTTTACATCTCTCATTTCTGAGCCACCTTCAAATAACAGCAGCACTGCTGACGGAGCCGAAATCCAAAAGCAATTTTCCCTCATGGAAATGGTTCTCTATTGATCCTCATCCTGAATTAATTGGATTCATGTCATGTCTGTGTAGAAATCAAATCATGGCTGGAGAATATGTGCGCCTGAGCCAAGTGTGTATTGTGTCAAGTATGTGTGTGAATGGAGTGTGTGCACATTAACGCGTCCATACACATGTGTGTCTGGACTCTTTCACAGTAGAAATCAATGAACCGTAAGATGACCACAGGCCTGCAATAAGGTGTTCATGCCACCTCTGATCAAGGTCAGGAGACGCAGCGAGCAGCGCTAACAAAATACTGGTACACTGGTTTATGTTCCCAATGTCATCACGCCGGGCTCCACGGTTCTGTTTACGCAACTGTGGAGGTCCAATTGGTTTTCCAAGATATCTGTCTGCCATGTGAACACTATAATACACTGCAGGAATGAGCCTGAATCCCAAGGCAAGCTTAGGTTTAATCTTTCTGGTCTGAAATTGAACTCTTGATCTACAATATAAGGTGCATCACGTTGCTGTCAATATAATTTAGTTCTGTACCTTCAGAGACATCCCTTGAGCCGCTGCTTTCCTTGAGGATTTCTTTGCTGTGCTCTCCTGAATCAGCCAACGTGTCCGCAGGAAGTGCCGGGAGCTCTTCTCCTCCCTCACGAGGAGCTGAGGTAGCGGGCTCGGCTGCTCCTTCTGCCGCCGCTGAGGCCCTGGAAGGTACCCAAATGTTAGCACAGTAAAAGAAACTAACAGTGAGTGCTGCGTGCCTCATTAAGAGTTAATTTCCGAAGGAGGAAAAGGGAGAGGGGGGGGGCGGGGGCAGAGTGGCTGGAGGTGGGGGTCGAAATAGTTCTTCGCTATCTGAGCATGCAAACAAACACTCCCTAAAGTCAGACAGAACACATACTGCAGCTGTCAAGTTATTGCGGTATTTCTGAGGGAACTTATCTGGAGGCAGGAGCACTGTTTATTTTGAATGTGGGCAGCTGTGCATATTCATATGTGACTAGAAGGCTGTGTTTTCTCTCCCTTTTGTTTGTCTTTTAATTCAAAAGTAAGCAGAGGTATGTTCAAAATAATTAACGGATCTTAACGGGGGGGCAGGGGGGGGCGCATTAGCATTTAAAGAGACACACACACCAGAACGGAGCGTTCTGAGAGAGCTGGTTTATACAGGGTCACAAACCTCCTCTGGTGCTTGATTCATGTTATATTTTGACCAAAGCACAGCACAGATGTTTCATTTAGACCACAGGGGACTGTTTGGAAAGGTGGAAAAGGGGGATAATATGTCCTCTTTAAGTCATGAAACTTCTCAGTCCACCCACATGAGGCCTTTTAAAAAAGAAAACAGTGAAAATATTGAGAATTGCCGAGGGGCTTACTTTAAATTAATTATCTGCGACAACAATTTATTCCACTTTCTTAGAACAAGTCTTTTTACCGACAACTTCAGCTGAAGGCGGGATGAGTTTTACTGATCTACTTATTCATAGTAACTTTTACAAGGCCATATGTGTAAGCGCATCTAAAAAAAATCACACCTACTGCTCGTTATATGAGCTACCTAACCTGCCCCTGAGCACTGTCAAATCATAATCTGTCATGCCCGGGGCTTACCATAATCACCGCTGGCTTTTTGAATGAAAACACGCTCTGAACAAGCTATTAAAACCAGGCTCTGACATCACAGGGGAAAATCTTGTTGACACAGCTATCACATGGCCTGTGTTGATGCTGCCAGTGAGGGATTGTCCTCCCCCACATGACTGATAATATGACAGCTTCCAGCGTGTAGGAGAGCCCCCAACCACACTCATTAAATCCATCCCTCTGCTAAAGACCTCGGCTAATGTTTGTAATGCCAGCAGCAGACATGGGAGTGACGGGCAACCTGCAGACAAATAAGGACAGGAACACAGTGTGCACAAAATGCTGTAAATGGAAACTTTTTTGGAGGCAGCCTTGCAGACTCTGACTCGGCATTAACATGGTAATAGAAGTACACTATCTGTATTCAGTCATTATCTTTCCTTGTAAGGCGCAGCAGCAGGTGAGTCAGACAGAAAGACTAGGATCAACAAATAACAGTTGGAAGTTTGCAGCATCTGTTTACACAAAAAAACAGAAGACAGATAGGTAAGATGCACGACATGGAGAATAATTTAGATAGTGTCTATCACAACAACACCACAGAGCCTGCAGGGATTGTTAAGTTCTGCAGCGTTTTGAAGGCAAAGTCAAACAGCCTCGGACTCAAATCTTGATTGAACAAAAAACTAGTCCCATGATGTTAAAGGTACTGTCAACTTTCCTCTACTGTGCTGATCCCAACTTGAAAGCATTGATTCCTCTAAATGACTGGACTCCACTCAAACATAACCTTTTACTTCCTTTTATTTTGAGGATTATTTTAGGTTTAGGTTTCAGTTTAGGTGAAAAACCTTTGAAATACGAGAAAATACAACAGAAAGAATACTTGTTAATATGTGCTTAATGTAAGCTACACCACAGCTTTAACATTCAAACCATTTATGTACTTTTTCATTTCATTAAATGAAATTAATATTCAACTGCTGCAAACACTTTTTATAAACCTGAAGAGGCAAGCTGTCAAAGCCTAAACCAACAAACAAAGTGAGCGCAGCTGTAATCCACGTCATCAAACAGTCTTTTAATGTTTTTAAAGTTCAGCATCTTACCGGCTGCCTCTCTGGATTTCTAGATTTCTGGATCGTCTTTTCTTTTTAGTTTCAGCGAGTTCCCTGCTGGTTTGCCTCTCCTCTCTGATGCTGTGTGTGTGTGTCTGTCTCAATGACCCAGGTGCACTCACAACTATGACCGTGAAGATTGAATTCTTCCGGGTTTGGTTTGCTTTTGTGTTTGTATGTAAAACATCATCTGTTTATTTACTAATTTAAGCAAACAATAAAAATAACTTTACCAGCAGAATGTGTTTTATAAATCTAACTCTATATGCTGATGTCAATGATCAGTTATGTTTGACTTTTTATCCTGCATGTCTGTACATGTCTATGTTACTTTTTCTACTTCTTTCAAATCCTCTACTTGAACTTATCATTTATCCCTAAATACATTTATTTTTTAATTCAAACTCTAGTTTGACTCGACAGTTACTACTAGAGTTGTCACGATTCCAGAACTTTGTAATTTTGTATGATATATACAAATAACAATAATACAAATCAAAGGATATCGATTAGGGCTGGGAATCTTTGGGTTTGGGTGATTCGATTCAGAATCTATTTTCGATTCAAAACGATTCTGGATTCATGATTCAAAGTCTATTTATGAATTAGTACATACTTCAGAATCTGCTCCTGTCATCTGTGAGACTGGCTAAATTTATTGCTGCTCCATTTGTCATTCTACTGAGTTAAAGTACTAGCAAGGACTGACTGATTACCCCCCCCACCCCAAAAACAAAAAAAAAACGATTTTTCACACACACCTCTAATATTGATGTCACATCACTAAAGAAAGACCTCCTCTGCAAAACTGGTAGATGTTGTAATTTTTGATTTCCAGCTTGTATTATTGAAAGAATCCCAGACTATAATTAGACATATTAGACATACTTTCTCATAGTAATAAAGGGCAAAGTAAATAAGATCTTCCTAAAAATAATGTAGCCTATATCTAAAATAAAACATTTCCTCCGAATTATCTTTCATAATCCAGACATATGTGGTCTCTGAGGAAGTTAGCGATTCGTGAGCACGGTGCACAAATAAAGCAGTCATATGCTTTCTGTAGCTTGCGCTTGAGTAGCTTGCGCTTGAGAGTATTTGAATCACAGTAATTTTTGAAAGGAGAAGTAAGTCCTATTTTCTCATTCCCACAAGTTAGGAGTTACAAAAAGAAAACTTTTAGGAGCCAGGTTGGGGAAAAGATCTGCAGCAACGAGCAAAAGAATAATGCAAGCAACCAGCTAAAAACATTTGCATCACAGCAATTATTTTAGAAAGTACTGTGTCTACAAGAGAGGAAAAGTTATATTTTCAGATATAACATCTGGTTCAAGGTTTCCTCTTCTGAACTCGTTTTTCTTGGAGAAATTACCTTACTGAATAGCCCCAAGTTTAAATACTGCACTATAATCATTTAACCCAACAAGATCAAATCCAGGCCTTTCAGATTCAACCTCTCAAGTCTGTCTGGAAAAATTACTGCTGATGCCTCTTTCCACTTCGACTTCCTCTGAGGCTTAGCTTTTTCTTTTCCACACGCTCATTAAAAGTTATTTTTACGTTTGAACTTTTAGGTAATGCTCCCACCACTTTAAATATTTTGTTTCCTAGTATATGAGAGTGAGCGCCCCTACCTGATGACTCCACACGGGGGCGCTTATTACATGAATGAGGGTAACATGAACAGAAGTTAATTGGAGAAAAGAAAAAGCTGACGTGGGGGCATAACGTTGGACAGCTGTTATAGGAATAGAAAGGATGAAAAGTTAAAAGAGGGGAAACTAACGGACAATGACAGTAAATGAATAAACCATGATATCGTTATGGTGCAGGTATCTTAGCGTTTCATGAGTTACCCTGCAATTCCCCACCCTGATATAAAGTCCCTGAAGAGAAGGGCTGTCATTTTTATTCAAAGATCCAACATTCAATCGAACCTCTGGGAGAAAGTTCACATTGCAACTTTAATGACACTCTCAAATTCAAAATGTACAGTCAGCGCACAAGGCCGTCTGAAGTGATTTACAATTTGCTCTCAGCGTAACTTGACCATTGCATGCACTCTTGACCTCAGTAAATTAGGCTGTAAACTTGTGGTAAGAGGGCGACTGGTCTCTCTGCAGACAGCGGCCCAATGGTTTGGTGGAGAGACACCGGGTCGCTACACCTGCAAACATCTGTGTACCAGGAATGTCTGTGCGCTCCGAACGGGTGTTCTCGTGAGCAGGTATTCGGCCAATTGTGACTAATAACAGAGCTGCACTCAATCCTGATCAAGATGATACATTTATAAGACAAGATGGTCCTTTTGGATTGTCAACAGGCTGTTGGTTTTGTTGGCACAGTGGCGGCAACGGGGGGAGTGGTGTTAGTCATATTTAAGCGCGCTTGAAGTGGATTCTTTTGAAAAAGTGACAGCAGTATTTTACAACTCCTGTGGGGGGCGGGACTTAGTTCATAAAATGTACATCTTCTAATTCTTTTCCATGCACATCCCTATACTCTTAATACTAATCCTGACCGACATAAACACAACTTAATAAGTGCAAGTATACATGTTGCTCTGTTTGTGTTTATGCCATGCTTTCCCTCTTTTACAAATGACCACAGCTAATCTAAAAGCAATAGCAACATGTTACATCACATTAGCTGATAGCTGTTTGGTTGTGCAGCGGTTGTCAAACTGCAAAAGAGAAGAATAGCTGCGCTGCTGTATTCTCTATGATGCTGGATCATTCGTCTCAATCTGAAGAACAAAAATGATCTCAACCCACATGACAGCCGAATAAAGAGCTATTTGTCAACACATTACTTTCGATAAACTGATCTCTCGTCGTTAAAACTGCCTTTGTGGGAAGAGAGTGGAGCCGTGAACAATGGCGATATGCGGGGCTCTCGTCTGCCTGACTGCACGCGCTCGTGTCAGCCGTGAGCGATTTTGAGCACTGCAGCTATTGATCTAGGCATATCTTTGCACACCCCTTCACAACTTATCTGTG